TTTTCTTTGATGTTTAAGGGGGGGGGGTAATGCATCCCAAGTGGCAGGAAGTATGGTATGTCTTCTTTATCCATTTTTCTCTTTATCAATATCTATTTTTCTCTGCCTTTATATTTTCCTCTCTTTCATTGATTTTGCCCTTTCCCAAGAAAATCAAAAAGAAAAAACAGGGATGGAACTAAGGCATATTTAGCCTTTTTGTCTGCATTGCTTCTCTTTCATATTCTCTTTTTATTTGTCTCTTTGGCTCTCCTTGCCGGCTGTCTTGCTAGTCCCACCGTGACCCTCTCTTTGTCTTTCCATTCCAGCTCTTTCCCTGGTCCCACTGATCCTCTCTCTTCCCCTCTTCTAATGCCTTAGGTCCACTTTCCTCTTTCCCTTTCTTCTCTTCACCTCTCGCCACTCTCTCTCAACCTCCCCCACCCCTTTTCCATCAGTGAAAAAGAGGAAAGACGACTGTGCCTAACCTTGAGTCTTCCCCCCCACTTCCAGCCCCAGACCCAAACTTCAACCAGTTCAGCCCCAGTGGACCCATGAACGGGACAGCAGCGGCAGCTGCTACAACCAACAATGGGGCTTGGGCCAGCTTCAGCCAGCAGACACCACAGCAACAGCAGCCTAATCCCAAAATGCAGTGGATGACCAGCAATGGAACGGCAAACCCTTTCATGGTATGCTTTGACTTTTCTGCGTGTGTGCGTGTGTGAGTGCATGTGTGAGTGTGTGCGTGTGTGTGTGTGTGTGTGTGCGTGTGTGTGTGCGTGTGTGTGTGTGTGTGCGTGTGTGTGTGTGTGTGTGTGTGTGTGTGTGTGTGTGTGTGTGTGTGTGTGTGTGTGTGTGTGTGTGTGTGTGTGTGTGTGTGTGTGGGGCATGTGCGTGCATGCGTGCGTGTGTGTGCGTGTGTGTGCGTGTGCATGCACGTGCGTGCTTTCGATAAAAGTGTCTGAGAAGTCCTGATTAACATGCTTAACCTCTTTCTTCTATTCTCTTATTAATGTTTCATGTTGTTTTAAAATCCTGTTGAACATTCCAATCTGTTTCAGGCTGCCCCACAGCTGCCTTCCAATGGCACCTCCTACAACCCGTTCCTGTGAGAGTCCTCGCAGCCTCCGCAAGATCTTCCTACGACAGGGACATGTCTGTGAAACGTTTATCTATTGCCAATGACCGATGACCCCAGCCATCTTTTCCTTGAATACTCAGTTAATTTAATTTTTTTTTTTGTAACTTATGCAGTGGTGTTTTATGGAAAAAATCCATGTTGCCAATCACAGTTTAGTTCTCGATGTGAAAGCATATAATCATTATGAAGAGCAGAAGGAATACTGGATGATTATGATAATTATAAAGAATAGAGAAGCAAAAGCAAACAAGTGTGAGCAACGCAGGTTTTTAGCTTATAAGAGTTTTTAAACGCTTCAGTGTCGAGTTTAGGGTCTGAGTACCACAATGGTCTTCTTTTTCTCTTCTGTGTGAAAAGGTTAATTATTGGGATCATGGGGACTGGTGGGCATTTTTTATGTAGTGTAGAAAGCAAGTGCTAAAGCATCCTCATTAAGGGCCATGACCTGCTCTGTGGTCATGGGAAAAGTTACAAACAACACATTAAATATAAGCCTGTTGACTATACTGATGCATTGTACAGAATCAAAATTGCCCAGATTTTGCTGTAGTAATCAAGTCAGTGCCCTTACTCCTACTCCCCCTCCCCCCCTCTCCTTTTCTATTCTCTCTCTCTCTCTCTCTCTCTCTCTCTCTCTCTCTCTCTCTCTCTCTCTCTCTCTCTCTCTCTCTCTCTCTCTCTCTCTCTCTCTCTCTCTCTCTCTCTTTCTCTCTTTCTTTCTTTCTTTCTTTCTCCCGTCCCTCCCTCCCCCTCCTCCTTCCTCTCCATTTATACTCTTCATAGTCCTCCTTTCACCACTCTGTGAGGAAATGGAATGTGATCATTTATTTTCCTGTGGTGTTACAGGTGCAAATCACAGAACAAAATCATATTATTACTTGTAGATAAGATTTCACCTTTGTTGCTCATAATTTCATTGCATTATAGTCATTGTGTTTATTTAATTAACTTGTTAAGGGGAAGTTCTCACATATGTCCAGAATGTGAAGCTTGGGCATTGTTGTGAAAACAAACAAACAAAAAAACAAAACAAAAAAAATGTATTTGAATGTTCAAACTCACTTAAGAACCACAGATGTTTGCAGGAGTTCAGGTTGGTGCTTCCGGTCTTGAATGTGAGTGCATGAAGGAACAGACAGCATCTTTTGTTAACATGATTTAGGTTATTGGAGTCTGTTGGCAGTTTTCCAAGGAAATATTCAAACATTTATTATTTTTCTTGCTTTTTCTCTGTTTTTTTTTCACAATTGAAGTCTCTTTCAGGGACTTTACAGTTCTTCCTCATTTTTTAATTTTTGTTTAAAACGATAAAATGTATCTTGCAACACAAACCAGGAACAATAGAATATTGAAATGAAAATTGTATAGTCAAACTAA